CGGTATGACGAGGTCGCGTATGTAATGATTTTGAAGTTCGATGCTAACAATGACATTATCAATGACAAAATATTAATTTTAACAAACGATAGTTGATAATAATAAAAAAATGATTTATACTTTTTTCAAAATATTGTGAGTATGCTATATTTAAGAAAATAAAATGTTCACTTCACCCGCATTGGACCAAAAAACGTTTTTCAAAAAAAAAAAAAAATAATAATAATATTAAATTAGGCAATAAAATTTAAGATCGAATGAATCAGGCCACTTGATTACAGCGCCGAAAGATTTACAGGAAAATGTATAAAATGGTGGCAATTTAATGTATAAGTTCCGTAAACGCCGGTGACGCAATTAATATTTGGGCAACCCTAGTAATTTCAGATTTAAAATTTGAAAATCACCAAAATAATTTACTAAACTTTTTATAAACAAATGCAGGAAGTCACACCCTATGAATTTTTATATATTGACTGAAAAGCTGTGAACTATTTATGGGGAAGATGCCAGAATGAATGAACTCGATATTTTTATGTATATGAGGAAATACATAATTTGGTCCCTACGATGGTGGGCACATCGCCGCACTGAAAAAATCCAATATTTTTGACATGTGTCGTAAAAGAAAATGTGGCGCGAACGTGGGTATGCTACACATAATTATACCCTACAACACTATGTGTTGGGGGTATTATAAGTTTGATTGGGCCAAAAATTATGTAACACCTCGAAATATTGGTTTTCGGCATAGGAAAGTATATATGGATCTTCCTATCTCGCCGAGCTGAGTCGATCTAGCTATGTGTGTCCGTCTGTCCATATTAATCTGTAATCACTCTACAGGTCGCAATTATGGCCCGATCTTCACGAAATGAAAAAATGGAGCCTATTACTTTTGGATTTGATTACATAATATTTAGGGGTTGAATTTTTAATCCCGGCGAAATCACAAATATTCGAACAAGTCAATTCTGACCGTTGCGTAGATGCCGATAGTAAATATATCGGATATATAAAACGAAATATATACAATGTGTATATACAAAGGAAGGGGATGTTACCTAGAATGCTTATATCTCAAGAATGGCTGGATCGATTCCGTAACATAATATCAAAAGCGAAATCTTCCACAATGGATTTGGACATAAGGGTGCTTCTAACATTTTGTGGTGTTGTAGGGAATCACATGGTCGGTCGCGCACGTCTATAGCCTTTGCTTACTTGTTTAAAACAAATGTTTATATATTCTTAAAAACGAAATTAACCTAAGAAGAAAGACAAAGTGGAATGACTCAGATTTCTTTAAAAAAAAATTAAAAAGGTTCACCCGGTTTGCCGACAAATTTGGAACCTATGAACACTTATATATGTTATATAGGCTAGTTTTCCGACATAAGGTAGTTAGTGTTTCAATTTTAAATGGGTTTCAATTATTAAATTAATTTTTTGACTAGAATTTTTTAAAATTTCCTTGAAAATATTCATTCTTTGGAATGAATATCCTCTAATCAAAACATTCTTAAAAATGTCATTATTTCAGATGGCCCTTGAAAAGTTAAATGTTTGATCGTTAAAAGTCTCTAAACAAGAAAAATTCATAAAATAAATCTTAAATATCAACAGCCTTGAAGCTGGAGGTCCTTAAAAAACAAGGAAACACGCGTTACTTTTAATATCCTAAACAAGAAAACCTTTAGAAATAAAAGAAACAGGAACGAATATCGGGTCTATTCCACTTTTTCCGGTGGAATGGATTGGTAAAAAGTTTAAAAATACCATATTGTCAATGTTACCGATTTCCTGCTAAATGTTTGTTATCAATAGCAAGTTTCATATTTCAAAATAAGGAAAAAATCAGTTGAAACCAAAATAATAAATGGAGGTACCGCTTAAAAAAGTGATAAAAGAAATAATAGGCACAGAAACCACAGGAGACATGATAGATATGATTATTCTAAAGTTTAACCCTTGGTGAGGAAGTACTGGAAGTAGTTGGCTTAGTCCTTCTCCGAACTCGATCTAAGCTTGATGATACAGGGTGAGATAAAAAAACTGCAACAAAGTCAAACGCCATAATTTTTACATTTTTTTTTTTTTTAATTTTATTGAATGGAAGCCAAAAATTGTCGGAAATAGCATCAAATCTTAGAAGAAGGTTTTGTTCAAATTGATCACCTTTGGCACAAATTATGGCTTTCAAACGGCCAATGAAACCGTCACACGCTGCCCGAATGTTGCTCTGCGGTATTTTGGTCAATTCCAGGCGAAGTGCTTGGTATTTTTTTAGTGCCAACCTTGCTTTCATAAAAAACTCCAGACACAGTAATCCAACGGATGAAATCTGGAGATTTTAGTGACCATTGAGCGCTGGAAATGAAGCAAGGAACCTCATATTGTAATCATTCTTGGGTGGCGCGCGCTGAGCCCTGTTGGAATGTCCGAGGTCTGCGTCCAAAATGTCATCGGAGAAAACCAAATTCGGTAGTTCACCACTTTCGGACACTTTTGGGAATTGGCTTTACCCCGAGTTCATTTTTTAATATTTGCCGAATGGAATATTGCGATATGTTCAGCTCACGTGCCAATTTTCGGCCACTGCGACGCGGGTTTCGATCAAGTCGCTTCTATACATTTCTGCTGTTTTCTTCCGTCCACTTCCTTGACTTCGGGCTACGGTACCAGTATCACGGTAAGGAGCGATGGTACGATACACAAAGATTTATTCACATTTAAATGCTGGAGTGCTCTAACGATAGCCACTTGTAGTTTTTTAGCCAAATATAAACGAAATAACACTATCACGCTTGAATTCCATCACAAATAACATTTTTTCTGGAAGATTCGCACCAAAATGCTCCTGTACACTTGTGGAGAATATAATGAGCTGTCACTGGAATAATTTTAACAGCTGTCCTACGAGTGGCTTTGAAATGACAGCAGTCTGATGTTGATTGCAGTTTTTTCATATCTTCCTGTAAATCTATATATATTGCTCACCATATAACCGATCTGAACCTATATATCTCATTTCCAGATACGAGGTAAGTCCCCATATCAAAATTGAGGATTTCAGCCGTTTATTTAGGAAATGTTACTAATTTTGGTATCAAGTGATGGGATGGAGCTGAAAATTGAAAGCAAACCGGTAAAATTTTTATTTTGAGTTCAATGAAAGAAGAAAACCCTAAGATTTATTAATTAAGGAAATGTCAAAAGTCGAGCGGGGCCGACTATATGAACCCCTACACCACAGTAAAGCCTCCGTAACAAAAAAGTATACATTGGGAATTTATGTGAAGTAGATCATACCAACTATAAACCAATTAACATTGCTGTATAGTGCATGGTATGACTTCGATAAGGATTGTATTTAATAATATTTATTTCAGCAATAGATATACCGGACCTAGTTTCATCAAAAGGCAAAATTCGGTTGAATATGAAAGAATCTGTCCAATTTTGGGCTGAAATTACATATATATGGTGAGCAATAACCGATCTAAACCGATCTCGATACAATTTGGTGGAGGTGTTTTCGAGCTGTATCTAATGTCTGGTATCAAATATCATTGTTGAGGAGTAAGGAATTATAAACCCCAAATAGGATAAAACATATATATGGAAGTTATAGCTATATCTGAACCGATTTTGACCAAAATTTGAGGCACTTGCTTTTGGATTGGATTCCGTCGGAATTGCCAAATTTCAGCCCATTTACTGCACAAAAAACCCCAAATCGGATGAAACATATATATGGGAGCTATAGCTAGATCTGAATCGATTTTCACCAAATTTCCAGTACTTGTTCCTTGATAAATTTCAAAAAATTATAAATTTAATACAATTTACATAGCAATTTATCTAAATCTGGAATTGATATATTGTATTGACCTTTAAGCCAACATGATCATATGCTGAGGATATAATAGGTCAGTAATCTGACTTATGCTTTCTAACTTATTATTTTTAATATTTATATCAACGGAGTTAGAATAACGGACTTTTGATATTTGTATTTGAAATGTTATCCCCTAATTTCTGATCCTCCCTGGATGCCCCCAATAGAAAAATAAACAAAATTTAACATTTATTTATCATTCTTTATTATATTATTATAGGAAATCATCAATAATTAATGCAATGCTTTAAATTTTCTTTTTTTTTTTTTTTTCTTTCAGATAAACAAGACTAAAAATTATGAATGTTAATGGGTTAGTATGAATTAGATACAATAATGAAAAAAAAAATGATGATTAAATGAAATTCTAACAGCTAGAAAAAGTCTATGATTAAGTTAGAAGGAAAGAAGGACTATACGAGGTCATAGAGGTCATTTTGGGGTTAGTTTGGGGAGAAGCGTAAAATTAAATCACAAGGCATACACATTGCTTGTATGAGTCCTTGATTAGTTCACAGTAAAATAAAAAACATTTCTTATTAATTAGAAATTCAGTTCAAGGCAACGATGAGGTTAATGAATAGAGTCAGTTTAGCAGGTTTTGCTATCACAGAAGTAATAATAAAAATCGAGGAAAAATATACAAAAATAATTAAATAACAAATTAATACAAAAATTAAACACATTCTATAAATAAGATAAGGCTAGACAAGTATGAGTTGGGTACTGATGAGTATGGGCGCTTAGATGAATGATGATGGCATATTAAAAAAAAGGAGCATCGCTATTAAAAAAATTGACTTCATTTTTTGGCCTTACAGAGCAGAGTCGACGATATGCGAAGAAAAACAAACACAAATTAAGAAGAGAATTTAAACTAAAAAAAACAAAATCTTGACATTTGATAAGCTAACATAAACTATCTGCTATGGCCTCCACCAGCCTCCACGAGGGAAGTGTTTGAGGTCCAAGATATTAATTTAATACGTTATAATCACGGTTTACTTTAACTTATCCTTAAAGGGATTAATTATTTCATATGAATGAGTAGGGAGAGGGGGAGAGAGAGAGTGGCTGTGTCTGTGTGTATCGCATTCGTTTAATAATGATGTTCGTGGGCCTCTTCCTGATGATGGATGGGGGCAGTTTTGTGTACAACAGCATTGAAGCCATTGTGCTTGTCGGCCGTGTAGTCCACGGTGCGAATCGAGCCATCAGGTTCAACCAAAGAGTATTGACCTAAAAAAAACAAAAAGACAAAAAGAGATTAGCCATAACAAAAGCATGTCTTTGAATTATCAAAACAAATACATGTGGAAAATAAATATTGTTTAATATAATTGCTGTAATTTAACCAAAAAATAAACAATAACATCTGTCTGCTACAGTTACACATAATTGCCAAGACGTGAACATTATTGCCCAAAACAAAAAAGTCATTAGTGTTACTTGACTTGCAGAAAAATTACATGACTCGTATTTTTCGCAACAATTACAAAATATGTTATTAACAAAGAAATGCACTTTTAAATGTTTATAATTAGCTATTTAGAGAGTTAACGTAGTTTATTCCCTTGTTGGCAGTTTTTTCACTGACAGTTAACAAGTTATTGTCTGAGCTATTGAAAATACACTGGAGTATTAAAAACAAAAAATTTAATAGTAAAGCTATTTGTGGTTCATTGCTCCTTTTCGAGAAGCAAACTGAAAACAAATTCCTATCTTCAAATTGTGAGACAAACATAGTTCTATGTTTAAGTTTTTATACCGTCCAACTTTGCCATTCCGTTTGTAATTTCTCAAAATAATCACTTTGGACCACAACGGATATATTCTTCATCAGAATAAAATTCTAGTTTTTGTGGCGTTTAATATTCTGCATAAGACCACCAGGGGCAAACATTTTTTTTAGTACCTCCCTATATTCCGTATTTGGACAATTTTAGTCTCATTATACCCTCTGCCATATGCCTAGAGAGGGTATATATCATTTGACACGGCCAAAACGTGCCTCATCTCATATCCTAGGTCTCTTTGGACCAAATCCGTTTCAGACATTTGGAGTCCATTTAGCGATGTCCGTCGGTCTGGCTGGTGCGCAATATAACTTTTGAAGGGAGTATCCGATTTGGTGCAAACTTAGGACATCGTAATATTATTGTCAAACTTAGATTGAGTTCGGAGATGGGCAATATCGGTCCTTCTGGTACCTTCCCCACAAAATGTAGACACTATCAAAGAAAATAATTTACTGCACATAAAGTGAAAGGATAATCTGATTTTGCTGCAACTTTTCAAATCGTAATATTTGCATCAGTGCTAGGTCAGGTTCGCCCACAAAGGGTCAAAACTTTGAATAATTATAACTATTATAAAATCAATACATATAACAATATTTTTGTTACGCCAAGAAGTGGTGTGAAGATGGAATATATCGATTCACTCTTTCTGGTATCTTCCTTACAAAGCGTCGAAATTTTGAATAACCAAAACGATCATAAAATCCGACACATGACATTGTTTCTACTGAAACAAGATGCTGTGATGTGATGATGGGATATATCGATTCATTTCCTCTGGTACCTCCCCCACAAAGGGACAAAATTTTTAATTCCCATGGAGCTCATAAAACGCGAAATTAATATCCGATTCCATTCGGAATTGAAACATCTCAATATTTCTATCAACAGAAGATCTGTTATGAAGATGAAGAATGAAGACGGATCGGACCTCTCCTTTTGGTACCTCCCCCACAACGGGTCAAAATTTTGAATATTTATATCTCCGAGCATAAGCATCCGATTGTTTTCAAATTTCACATATCCTAATATTTACTATTAATACCTTCCACAGAAACGGTTCTACATTTTGATTAACAAAACGCTCAGGAAATGCGAAATAACCATTAGATTCTTTTAATGTAATTTCACACACCTCCAATATTTTTTGCAACACAAGATCTGGTGTAAACGGCTGAAGCTAGAATCTTGAAATTTCACTCTAGGGTCCGTTGTGGTGTGTAGGCGTGTGATATGGTTGGAAATTCGTACTAAAAGGGTTCGAAAAGTATTACTAATTTTTAGCACTAAAAATTAAATATATGAATTGGACAAATGGAATGAGCTAGAATACCGAAATTTTGAATGAGAGTCACCGATGGAGTGCAGGATATATGTACCAAAAGGTTTTTGGAAATTCCACAGTAATGTGACGAAAAGTTCTAAAATGTTACGAAGGTTTTAAATTGGTACCATTTAATATTTTGTACCACAAATGAGTACTGAATAGTACTATAGTTGATACAATTTGGTATTGAGTGAGCAGATAATGCAAGAAATCTGAAATTTGGCATTATTTTCTCTGTTCATGTGTAGCCGGGAAATATAGAGGTGGTTTGTACAAAATGGTTCTAAATTGGGTATTGGGTAGAAGCATTATATTGGAAACCCAAAATTTGATGTTTAGGTCTCTGTTGGTTTCTGTGGTTGAGATATGAAGGTGGTTTTGAATGTGTGTACTATAATTGTACGAAAAGTACTAAATTTGGTAGACCTGGAATTTGATGTTGAAGTCTCTGTTGGTATCTAGGATTGAGATATGGAGTTGGTTTTGGATGTGGTTACTATAATTGTACGAAAAGTACTAAATAGTACTAAATTTGATATTGGATGAAGGGGTTGAGCTGGAATCCAGAAATTTGATATAGATGTTACTCTTGGTGTCTTTGGTTTTGGATACGCGTACTATATTTCTTCTAAAAGTATTGAATACTATTACGTTTGGTATTGAATGAAGAGGTAGTTATAAAATTCTGTAATTTGATATTTAGATAACTGTTGGCATCTGAGGTTGAGATTTGTAGGTGGGTTCGAAAATGTATACTATATTTGCACGGATAGTGTTAAATTTGGTACTGGGTGGATGAATAGACCTGAAATCCTGAAATTTGAAATGGACGTCACTGTTGGTGTCTGCAGCAGCTGGTCTTGGATATGCGTACAGTTTGGTACTGGGTGAACAGATAGTGTTTGAAATATGAAAGTTGATATTAGGATCGCTGTTTATGTGTAGCCTGGAAATATGAAGGCGGTTTCGGAAATGTGTTCCATTATTTTACGAAAATATTGAATCGTACTATATTTGGGATTGGTTAAAGGATTAAGCTGGAATCCTGAAATTTGATATGGATGTCATTGTTAGTGTCTGTGATTGATAGAAGGAGCTGGTTTTCGATATGCGTACTATATTTGTTCGAAAAGTACTAAATAGTACTATATTTGGTACAATTTAGTTTTGGGTGAACATTTATTGCTTGAAATCTGAAATTTAGTATTAGGGTGGTTCATGTGCAGTCTGTAAATATAGGTGGTTTCGGAAATGTGTACTGTATTTTTACGAAAAGTATTGAAGGGTACTATATTTGGTATTGGATGAAGGAAGTGATATAAAATTCTGAAATTTGATATTTAGAAAACTGTTGATATCTGAGGTTGAGATTTGTTTGAAAAGTACTAAATTTAACTAAATTTGATACTTAACTGTTGGTGTCTTGGATTGGGAAATGGAGGTGGTTTTGGAAATGTGTAATAAAATGAGTGGATGTATGGAGCTGGAATCCCGAAATTTGATATTAAGGTCTCTGTTGGAATCTGGTTGTGGATTTGCAAATGTGTACTATATTTTTTGAAAAGTACTAAATGGTACCATTTTTGGATCACTGTTCGCTCCTCTAAATATTTTTACCCAAAGATTGCTCTCCCACCCTCAATGGCGAATGCGACCAAATACAAATGTGTCCAATCATAGCACAATGTAATATTCGAATCCAAATCCAGATCATATTCAGAAATTAACTATATTGGTCCATATTATCTGACCTTTCCTGCAATATATACCCGCTATTCCTATTGTTATAGCATCTTCGGATGATATGTATTTCAGGTGCTCGTGTTTACCAATCGAATCAATCGTTATTTGGTATTTCAGACTCATCTTTCCAGGAGAAAATGTTCAGTTTAGATGGATTATTTGGTGTAGCATAATCACTCAAGATGTTCGACATTTCGATGAGTACAGCTCCAATTTTCAACAGAATTGGCTCTAATTTTCAATTGTGATTGTAATTGGATCAAAAAATTAACTTCCAAATATTTGTCAATTTCGTTTCATATTTTGACATTAAGGACGTAACCTATTACGTTTTTTAAAATACCAATTGAAGCCACTTCGGCTGAAACTTATTGCTTAACCTACAACTTCCAGCCAAAGTGGTTATAGTTTGATATTTTTAAACCACTAATAAACAAACTTTGTTTTTATAAAAACAAAAATAAATGGATAAAGCCTGACCATTTTGCAACAACATTTTTAAACCTTAATAGGTGAAACATATCTAGGCATAAATAGCTCAAGGTTGGTTTTATAATTCATATATTTATAACGGATTCTTGAACAGCATGAACAATTATTGGGTATTTTGTGTTCGTAAATGATAAAGAATTATGCGACAAGAATATTCAGTGTTTACTGGTATTAAGCATTCGATCCTGCAACAATCGAGTTCGATATCCTTGATAGTTTGAGGTGCTCCTTAACAAGTTTCAGAAAATCGGAAACATTTGTTCATTTCGATAATAAGATTTTCCTGCAGTTTCAAGGAAATGGATTTGTGAGATGTCTTAAGAAATCGAATCCTTATTCTTTCTTCTAAACCAGCCCCTTTGGGTCGATTGTCATCCCCAATTTGTTTGCTAATGTGACCCATATTTCAAACTATGTATATAAACTATTATTACTAATTTGATTCCCGTGTCATTACAGGCTTGGACCCGGAATTATATGAAATATAACCTCGGGATTATTTGTAAGAAATAATTTTTAATGTTATCCTTTTTCGTGTGGAAAAAATCTATCCCTGTTGCTATTTGAAATTTAAACGCATTCTGTGGTCTTTTCATAAGTAGCTTAGGTAAATTGTATCAATTTTAACCAATTTCTTATCCGAAAGTTATAACATTTTTAATATTCCAAAAATCCCCTTCGACAAACTTACCCTTTACGGAATCACCTTCACGAGTCTCATGTTGAGATTTAACATCACCGGTGTGATAATCGTTTACACCATATTTGAAAGCGTATTTGGGGGGTGCCTAAAATAAAAGCACACACATTAGTTACCCACAAGGCAAGCAGTCGGGTCCTTTAGCCTTCGACCTGCTAATATCACACTTACATAATAATCAACATGTTCATCTTCATGATGCTCCTCATGATGTTCTTCTTGGCCATAGCCCTCACCCAAACGTTCGATCTGATGGCCATGTCCATAATCATGTGCTACTTCGTAGGCCTGTTCGTGGCCACCTTCGTAGTAATGATGATCCAGGGGATAGGCCAAGGTAAGGCACAAAGCGGAAGCGAAGATAACAAACTGTTGAGAACAGGAAAAATGGATTTTAATATTTTAGCACTTATAGAATATTTTTTAATTTATTTTTTTTTTTTAATTTAACGTCCATTGCTCATAGTTTTTTTCACGAAATTTAAATATTTGATTTTGAAATACGTTTCATTTCCAATTCGTATCCTTCATATATTTCATGTGTTCTGTTTTTGAAATAATTATTCTCCAAGAATTTTGTTGAATTTATTAATCTTTGCATTATTTCCATGGCACCAAGTTCGTGTCTTAAGTCTTTTGTTTTAATTTGCATTTTTTCAGTTTTATTTATTTTCCATTGTTTTTTTTTAAATTTATTTTTTTCTTCATTTTGAGACACTTTAGTTCATTTATTTGTCAAGTCCTTTTTTAAAATATTTTTAATATTTCTTATGCACTTTCATCACCACCGCTCACCTTAAGGACCATTTTTATGTATTTTTTTAAATATATTTTTCTTTAAATCAATTGAAAAATTGAAACTATTTTGTAACGGAGATCACTATTTCGAAGCTGATCTGTTTTGGATTTTTTTTTTTGAGTTTTTTTCTTTCGTTCGTTGTTAGCAAACAAGAAGCGTTGTTAACCAAATGAATTTCCACCGCGGAATAATGTTGTTCAAATGAAAATTTGTTGCTTTTATATATTTAGGAAGAAATTGTTGGCTTTATCCATGCAGTCGGCAAACATCAGCCAAACGGTGGAAAAGGCAAAAACAAAACCTGGTAAGCAAACAGCAGCAGCAACAGCAGTAAACAGTGAATCGCTATGCATGTACGAATACATGTGTGTGTGTCCACCAACAAGGGGTAAATCGAAATGTATGGCCGAACGGTGGTGGTAATGGTGGTAGCTGCAACTGTTGCACCGTCAGACAGACGCAGACAAAACATAACATTCACAAATGAAGCGCTGCAGAAACATACCAACAGCAACAACGACGTCGGCCATAATATGTGCATTCGAATATAAATAAACTTATTTTTTTTTACAAAATAACAATAACAACAGAAAAATAGTTTAACAAAACCAACAACAATCATGAAAGCTCCACATTCACACTCTATTGTTTGCGAACTATTTTTTTTTTTCGTTTTTTTTTTCAGTTTTTATAAATTTGAACCAATTGCATTTTGAAGAGGGGGTTGATTGCTAGAGTGTTGCTAACCACCGGAGTTGGTGGTGTTTGTATTTACAGATAGCGATTGTACCCTATGCATGGAAATCTGGACTTCAGACTTGTATTCTCAAGACATTTATGTTCCGTAAGAATTTTTGATATGAAAGCTTGAGTGCCTTCAGGACCTCATACATCTATGTTCTCACTGATCATATCAACTGCTGCCATTTAGACAATAGAAAAGCACACTGGTACCATTGAAATTTTCTACCTTAAACATGCGGAATTCCAGACGATTCATTGCAGAGTTCTTCAAATATTCAAACGTAAGGATATGTGCAGAAAGTTAATGGTTTTCTAATCCTTATGGGTACAGAGGTTTAGTAATATTTTATTATGGGCAAATATCTGACTCATCGAATTAAGGCCAAATAAAAAACGGCCAATTTTGCGTAGTTTTAACTCTAATAATATTTCAAATGATTCGCCCAATTTCTTTAAATTTGGTCAGTCAAAAAATTTTGAATTTAGGGTAAATATAAATTTAAGAACATATTTCCCCACTCTTATTAAGGTAGATTTTGAAATATAAATCTTATAAAAGGATAAATGATCCGCTGATATTTTGAAATCCAAATCCTATATTTAGTTTCTTTTTAACAAAGGGTCAGTTTTCTGTTCCTACCTTCTTTCCTAACAAATACGTTAAATTTTTGCAAACATCATGGTATATAACGCTTATTCGAAATCTGTGATTTGGTCACCATACACGTTTTTTAAACTTGGATCCGGTGACAAAATGTATTTAAAAATATTTTCTTAAGAACTTCCTGCCAAAAATAGTAAAAGCTTGAAGGCATCCCAAACACAGAATTGTGAACTTTGAACATAATTTCAAGGACATGCTGCGGATTTTTTTAAATACATTTTTTCCAGAAGTTTTTCTCTTATGTTAAAATTTGGGATTTTTTAAATATATATTTTGCAAGGTTTTTAAGCCCTCATGACCAAATATTCTGAAAACGTTCTTGGATTTTCAAAGAGAATTTTTTCAAGACATCAACAATCCTACAGTCTGTTTGTGGAAATGTTCCCCTGACCAAAACCATGGATTTTTGAAACATTTTATTTATTTATCTCCTAACGAATCATCGTGTATTTATTAACGAAATCTGAGAGCCTTTTGTCCAAAACTCATTTATATGTTGACCAGAATCGAGGATTGCTTAAAAACATCATTTCATGGCTCTGCTTACCAAAAATATCCTGTTTTATTTTATAAACTGTTTTTCACTGATCTCCTTATCATCAGAAATCTTCGACTTCCTGACAAAAAATCCTGTTAGGATTTTATGAGAGAGAGACGAAAATTTTTTGAGAGTTATAATTATTCTAAATGTTGACCCTTTGTTGGAGAAGGTACTAGAAGGAGTGGGCCGATATTGCTTATCTCCAAACTCGATCTAATTGAAAAGCTGTTAAAATTCGTAATTTTTTTAACTACTTGCAACGTCTTCCTAGCAGAAAACGTGCACTTTCAAAATTTATTTAATTTTTTATACCCTCAGACATATGGCTACAATGGGTATATATCATTTGATACGACGAAAACGTGCCTCGTCGAAATAAAGGTTTTAGACCCAAGGTCTTTTAGACCAAATCCGTTTCAAACATTTGGGGTCGATCTAGAGATCTTCGTCCGTCCGTCTGTCTGGCTGGTGCGCACGATAAATATACGACTTGGTACATCGTAATATTATTATCAAACTTAGATCGAGTTCGGAGATAAGCAATATCGGTCCACTCCTTCTGGTACCTTCACCACAAAAAGACCACAAAATTTTTCAAAAAGCAAATTTAGTACCATTTACTATTTTTCGAACTATTTAGTACATATTTTCAATATATTATTATCTCATTACTACACGCTAACAGCGACCCCAATGTCACCATTTCAAATTTCCAGCTCCATATTTCACCCAAATCCAAATTGTACCAAATTTAGTACCATTCAGTACAGTTTTTATATGAAGTCCACATTTCAAAAACACATTCCAAACACAATTCATATACCAAATGTCTACAGGGTGAGAAAAAAACTGCAACAAAGTCAAACTACATATTTTTTAAATTTCTTTTTAAATTTTATTGACTAAAAGCAAAAAAAATGTCGGAAAGAGCATAAATTTTAGAATAAGTTTAGATTTATTCGAATTGGTCTCCTTTGGTACGAATTATGGCCTTCAAACGGCCAATGAAACCGTCACACGCTGCCCGAATGTTGCTCTGCGGTATTTTGGCCCATTCCTGGCGAAGCACTTGCTTGAGGTGATCGACACTTTGGTATTTTTCAATGCCAACCCTGCTTTCCAAAATACTCCAGACACAATAGTCTAACGGATTGGTATCCGGAGGTTTTGGTGGCCATTGTGCGCTGGAAATGAAGCGAGGAACCTCATTTTGTAACCATTCTTGGGTGGCGCATGCTGAGTGCGATGGTGCTGCGTCCTGTTGGAAGGTTCAAGGTCTGCGGCCAAAATATTTACGTGCCCAAGGCTTTAATACACCATCCAGAATATTTTCGCGATAATATTCGGCATTTGTTCTGATTCGATTAATACAAGCGGAGAGCGACCATCGGCTGTTATGGCGGCCATCGACCATCACCACGGCCGGTTCTTGTGGCCAACCGAAGGTGCTCATTTTCAGCTGACCTCTTTGGCAAGTAAACCCGATCATTTTGTTTGTTTCCAAACTGCTGGAGAACGAATGTTTTCTCAACGGAGATGGAGAAAACCAAATTCGGCAGTTCACCACTTTCGGCCGAGCGAAGCAACTCTTTAGCTCTTTTGAGTCTATTTTCTTTCTGTTGCGGTGTAAGTTCTTGCACTTTTTGGAATTTCAATGACTTTACCCCGAGCTCATTTTTTTCAATATTTACCGAATGGAATATTGCGATATGTTCAGCTCACGAGCCATTTTCGGCAACTGCGACGCGGGTTTCGAGCAAGTCGCCTCTTTACTTTTCGAACCATTTCTGCTTATGTTGCTGTTTTCTTCCGTCCACTGGCTTGACGTCGGGCTTCGCTGTCAGTATCACGGTAACGAGGGATGGTACGAGACACAAGAGATTTATTCATATTTAAATGCTGGATTGCTCTAACGATAGCCACTTGTGGTTTTCCAGCCAAATATAAAGAAATCACAGTATCACGCTTGAATTCCATCACGAATAACTTTTTTTCTGGAAAATTCTCAATAATTTGCTTTTGTACGCTTTGAAACAATATAATGAACTGTCACTGGAGGAATATTCACAGTTGTCGGACTTAGACTTAGTGGCTTAGAAATGACAGCAGTCTGAAGTCGTCACCTTACCGGCGACCTTCATCTTTAATTTCAGAATTTCACCTATACCCGTATGACCAAGACAATGGATTCAATTATTAGCTCCTTTTAGTACCTTTACGGAATAAATAGTTTCATATGTCCTCCATCCGTCTTCTGTTACTGAGGTTACACCTCACCGATTTTCCTCAATTTTATTACTTTTGGGAAATAATCCTGAATTTTGAATTCTGGATTTTAATTTTTTTTTTTCAAGAATAATGCTATTATTATGGCTAGAGAGGCGTCTTAAAATACTCATCGTACAGATCGTATGGAATTTGAAGGGCGGAATTGGGTGTTCACTTTACCCTCTATAAAAAAAGAAACTATTCTTTAATAATCATAGAAGAATCATAAAAATGGATTGTGTACACTATTTTAACCATTTTATGCATTCTGACAAGCTCTGGCTAAATTTCCCTCGCTGACAATAGTAGTACATTCTGCAGCTTGCCTGTACCAACTTCAGCCTTTTATTTTAACTAGCTAAGCCTCCAAGAGAAATGCAAAAGTAATAACCTCCATTACATGGCAAAGTAGAAACTAAGGCAACAAAAAAATGATTATCATTATTGCATATTGACCATATTTCATAGCAGTGTCTATAACAATTCACATTATAGATCTCCACTAAACATATGTGTATTTACGCTAAAGTGTGTGTGTCTGTGTGTATTGATACAAATACAATTTTAGGGAGTTTGTTGTTTTTTGTTATTTTTTCTTCGGCTGAAATTAGCAATAAGCTGGCCTAATTTTTATATATATATTTTTTGTGAAGGAAAAAGTTAATGCGTTAAAGGTAATTAACAATTTATCAGTGATTGGTTTAAGTTTTATGCAAGATTGATAACCGAACTCACACACACGTACTTATATACGTAGAGTTATTTTAATGTTAGTAATCTGAGACTATTTC